ACATGCAGTTTTTCAGGTGCTGGTGAATTTGGCTCCTGCTATCCAGGTCGATGTGATGCCGACCATTGGTGAGGAGAAATATTCGGAAGACAACAGGCTGGCACTTTGAGAATGTGCTTTGCTGGCACTTTTCTGTGCGACATTTTCATGGAGATGGAGAATGTAGGAATGAAAAACATTGAAAAACCACCAAACACATATAAAAACATGGGGAGGAAACCACCAACATAATATAAACACAATTATATAAACACATGGGGGGATACGAGAGATTAACAACTCATCGAGAAAATGGAAGATAGCCTAGAAATAGTTGGGTTGGCAAATGTTCCACTCTGGGGATTCTTGACGTCAGCTGGGCAATTCGAGGCCTTCCCACGATTTGAATCTGAGCTTAAACCAACCGCAAGAAGGAATGTTATAAAAGATCTACATTCCTTTCAACTGGTTGATACCCTCTGGTAATTTAACATAGCTATGGAAAATCATCATCTTTAATGGGAAAATCCACTATAAATGGCCATTTTCAATAGCTATGTTAAATTACCAGAGGGTACATTCCTTTCAACTGGTTGATAGGTGCAATTCCCCCTTCGTCACCCAGTTTAAGGCTGTGGTCAAACCTCAGATCATCACAAGCCCAGCATCTTTGTTAGTAAGTATCCCAATCACTGGTAGACGCTTCATTGTTTGTTGGTCAACCTGCAATGTTTGCTGGTGAAACTACATGTTTTGGTAATGTCAACCGCCAATTTCTGGTGCTAAATCTGCATCTTGATAAGAGTGTGTTTGAACTTGTGGCATGCGTTATACCCCCCAAAAATGGCCAGTTCATGCAAGTTCAATAGGGATTTTGGGGTACGTGATTTTCAGACAAATCCATATTTTCTGCTGGGTAAAACCGATAAGGTTTTCAGCCGCCACAGGATTCCAGAGCGAGACCAACGTGGACTGCCAGAGGAGGATGCGTTGCCAAGACCCGAGATGTCGATGGAGAACCAAATGTGAGCTGCTGTTGGCCAAAACCAATGGTGTGTGAAGAATGCAGGATAAGAAATTCTTGGTGTGTGATATATATATATCTATGTAATTCTATGTATATCATATAATAGTCTCCAAGAGATTCAGAAAAGCTTCAATTTCCCACTAAATTTTAGTGGTATCTTAGCAACTTCAGTTGATCGCCGATGGTGACATGACCCGAGGCGTCGGGATTTGACCATCGGAGCCTTGCTGCTTCGCGTCTTGACACGACTCGGTTTGAACCCATAATCACTATCATTGACCAAAATCTGTAGCATGATCATTATAGTTATTGTCAAACATCTTTATATTTATTTCATTATCATTATATATTTATCATTATCATTAAATAAATTTGGTTTTGTGATATATCAAATCATGATCATTATCATATCGTTATTTATCATTATTTATATAACATGTTTTTTTCATGATCATGAAAACCATTGGCACCGAGGTGTACAGCGAAGCGCCGCTGCCGGCGACGGAAGCGACGCTGCCCGGGGCCTCGGAGATCTCGGAGCCGGCTCGGAGCCGGCACAGGACGACAGGAAATCGATGGAAAAACCATGAAAAACCCATGGTTTCATGGTTTTTTTCCATGGTTTTTCCTATTGAAATTATTGAACATGAATGGTTTAACCATCAGTTTCTGATGGTAAACCTGCAGTTTCCTGAGAAATTTCTTCCGAACGATCGATGTCCTGAGGCTTTGGAATATGAGCTTTTTGATTTCTACGGAGGTGTGAGGAAACCCGAGCTGCCGACGTTGCTTTTGAGAAGCTGTGCAGAACGGTGGTATTGATCTTTTGTCCTATAAGGGGCCTATCAGCCTATCAGCCAAACGAGGTAGATGACATTTGCAAGGGTATGCTGCGATCTCCATGCCAGTGGCTTAATGATGCAACCAGAAGCCAACATACTTGAAGACATGCGAAGCTGCTGTTGCACCTTGCATGAAACACAAATTTGTTGCCAGATTTCCAGAAGGTCCAGTTAACAAGACGGTGGAGGAGGTCGCAGAGATTGTTTTGAGGTTGCTGGGCAGTGCTTTTCTGCAAGAACCTGTTGAGAAGAATGCGGATTCAAACGCAGCGGCGCATATTTATTTCCTCCTTCAGGGCTTGAATATGACTGTTTGATACTTTTGGTGGTCAAATAGTGATGAACCTCCAAAAGCTGATACTTGCCGAGAACATGCAAGAAACCCTCTCAAAACTTTTAAGGACGGATGAAGAGAAAGAGCTTGTGGTCACCTCAGTTTGTAAAGATATTGTGATGACTTGTATTTGCTGCAAGTGTTGCTCCTGATGGAGTCGAATCAATCAATTTGAAGCCAGCGGCCCAAGATTCGGGGCCACTTGAATGGTCAAACTGTGAAGTTTGAGCCATGAAACCTCAAGCCAAACCACAAGAATCATGTGATATGGAGGTCGATTTTTCAGCACAGATATGAGAGGATGCCTCCTGGAGGCCGAGAGGATTTCCCATAAGTGAACCGAAATTCCGGATGTCTCCTGGAAGCAGCGAGTCCATCGTCAACAGCAGAGCGCCGGAGATTCCGAAGAAGCCATGGTCAGATCCATGCGAAGCTTGCCGCCATGGCTCCTGTGGCTCTGTGTGGGTGGATGGGCTGCTCGACTGGCAGCTTTGATGTGGCTCAAAATCACCGGGGAAACTGGAGGGTGAAATATGGTTTAGTTTGATTTAGCACCCAAAAATGATCAAAATATTATGATTCTGTGACACCCCTTTGAGAACTTTATGTCTCCGTCTCAGGAAAGTTGATCAACTCTATAAACTGAACCTTTGGCTCGCTGGTTGATGGTTTCGGAAACTTATTTTACCTTCCATCAGTATATCAGAAATCCCAACTGAACAACGTGTTTGGGAAGGGGTTGGAACTGCCAAGCAGCTCAGGATGACCTCAGTACCCACGGGTACCCCAAAATCTCATGGGAAAAAAGTAACAAATAATTGCCCTGATTCTTTGGATCTTGATGGCGATGTACACCAATATTATCTCTTGAAATGGTGTATCCCCCATTTCTGGAGAACCCTGAAGGTGTTGGTGATGCATCAAATAGCACACTTGTCACACTTGTATCGTAGTCTTTGGGTCGAAGTACTTTCAGCACCCGAGAACTAGGTCCAAGGCAGGGTCCGCCTGAAAGGAGGTCATGGAATGGAAAAAAAGGTAGGGACTTCATCGCCTTTGGCAGCAACCTCAAATTCCCAGCCGCCATAGCCGCCCAACACATGATATTCTACAAATACAAACTAAAATCAAACTAAATACATGACATAATATAAACATATATACTGTAACACATGATTGATATAGTATCACATGGTATCTTAAATAGTTCTCAATATATACCATTATATACCCAATTTTTGTATAATTACGTATGTTTGTCCTCATTGTGGCGGTTTTTCTGCTTTTTGGCAAGGCATTTTGCAACTGGCAGCCCACACGACTTCTGCCGCGGCACCTTGACCGCGGCCCTCGTCGGTCGGCTGAAGGAAGGGGAGCAGATGCTGATGGCAAGGACAGGTGCCCATGTGGGGCTTGTTTCGTCAAATGGGGGTTTCCATAAATGGGGGTACAGGTACCCTAAAATGGATGGTTTATAGTGGAAACACCTATTAAAATGGATGATTTAGGGATACCCCCATTTATGGAAACCTCCAAATGGGGGGTATCCCAAAATGTGAAAATAGGCAGAACTCATTGTTTCCTGATGAACATTGCTATTTGGAGGGATATCCCCACCATTTTCTGAGACCAAACCATGTCTACCCTTTGATAGCCAAACCTAACAATGGAAAACGAACATGTTTTATTAGGAAAAACATATGTGTGAAAGGGCGCCTTTCCCTTGCCAGACTAGATTACTAAAAGATAGAAATTGAAATTTCGTGGTCTGATACCACCTTCAAAATCGATCAAAATGGTCCTTGTTTCACTATGTTTCAGTAAAATATTCCTGTGGAATCCGGTAACCAGTCCCAAATTTCATGGTCAATCATAATGTTCCAGATTTCCCCATATTTTCACAGGTTTTTCCAGGTTAATCATCCATTTTCATAGGTTTTCCCACTATAAACCATCCATTTTGGGGTCCCCCATATTTTATCACCGCACGACATGGAGGAGATCGTCTACAACTACTTTTCCCAGGACTATGCCCTGATCACGCGGAAAGAGAAGGCCTTTGACCCAGGCCAGGGGCGTTTTTTAAAACACGAAAAAACGGCCATAGAAATCGTGGGATTTACCCATTGATGATGATCAATGGTGACCCTTATTATATCATTATCTATCCAGTGGTTAGGAGGGAGCTAAGGAGCTAGGGGTATTCATATTTTCTATTAAATGGGCATTCTATTCATATTTATATTCATATTCGCAATTTTTAATCATATCATATCATACTCCAATCCTAACCACATCCAAATATGGCTATGGATCAATACCTATAAGTACAATTTTTAATGGGATGAACATCCATTTACCAGCTATTTTGATGTTCACCAGGGCTACAAGGTTTTTACACACTGCCATATATCCAGTGGTTAGGAGGGAGCTAAGGAGCTAGGGGTATTCATATTTTCTATTAAATGGGGAGCCAAGGAGCTACTTAGAGTTTCCCAATCATCTAGTAGTTATATATCCAGTTTTAGGATGTTTTCGGGGATTACTAACCTGCTGCTGCTGCTGATGATGATGATGATGATGATGATCAATGGTGACGATGATGATCAGTGCTGATGAAGGTGATGATAATCCACAAATAAGTATGATATGTTATTCCCAAATATACATATTAATGAGGAAAATGATGATGATCCCATATAATTATTTGAATTTTGCAGAAAACATGTTAAGTTAAGAAACAATCCTAGCCGTTCTGCTTCACACTTCTCTCAAAAGGGAGAATCTTAACCATTATTTTTAGGAGTGTCATCGAGCTACTGGGGTTGGTAGAATCACCATTGACCAACAATAGGTTGATGGTCGGTTCCGGACTTATTAATCTACCATAATCTACCATTGATATCAATTGATACATTGATCTACTCTTGTCATAATATTTATAGTTGTCATCATAATCTACTATCAACTACCAGTATCATATATAATTAATCAAATAATCTATCAACTACCAGTATCATATATATATATACGTATATATATATATATATATATATCATTTATAATCAAATAATCAGCTGGGAATTCCGCTTCACCCCATGCTCCGACCAGTCTCCGTCCGCGTTTTCCAACGATTCGTTTGGCCGTTCGAGGCCAGTGGCTCTCCGAGCTCTTGCCATGGTCGGCTGGAGAGCTAAAGGCCCGCGATGCCATCGACGAGGCAACTGGGGTTAATGGGGATGTCATATGGGAAGATATGGGATATATATAATATATATATATATAGAATACAATATGACTATATATGGGATATAAAACCAACCATAACTATGATATGATAAGTATGGGAATATATGAGATATAAAGCCAACCATAACCATCAAAACTGTCTAGGAATGGGGGTATAGCCGGTGTAGTTTGGCAAAAGCCACCATTTGATAATGATTTTGATAGGAACAATGACGATAAACCATCACACTTAGGATGTCCTGCTTTCAGATAAACCCGAGTAGAGAGTGTGCATAGTTTGGCAAAAAGGGATTTGAGCCTTTTGATGCGTGTGGAAGTGAAAGAAAATGAAAGAATGAGGGTCAGCCGGGTCAGCTACGATTTTTTTGTTGTTTGGACTATACCATTTGAGTACCAAGAACAAGGGACTTTTTGGCTAGCAAAAAAAATGGTTTGAACATCTTTTAATGGTCAATAAATAGCGTTTCAACAGCTCCTAAAGCAGAAATGTCTAGTTGCAGGGTTTTAGCTGATCATGATAAATTCTGGGAATTAAACACCAATAGCTGCGCAGTAAGATTGAAATGGCAATGTCCATCGATGATTGGTAAAAGGCTAGGGTTGGTGAGTGCTTCCACATGTCCAACACCCAATGCTTATCACAAGTTGTGATGTACTCGTAGGACTGCGTCTCTAGCTGACCATCGCACCGGGATGAACATCGGGCCCGTTTTGACATGTTTTGACCATCCCCAGCTTGGCGATTTGTCAAAGTTTGTCAAAGGATATCCCACCTGCACAGAATGGATTCCCGGCAGAATTCGCAGGAAACCAAACCATCTTCGGAGGGTTCAAAAACCATGGCTTTCCTGAGATTCCGTAGCGAATTTCACATGAATTTCCAGTGACTTGAGGTGTCCAAAAGTTAGAAATCAATCCATGGACTTCCAGCAGCTGGAGGTGTTACCCAAATGGCGCGACTTGGAGGTGGGCCCAAGGACAGAAGAAGCGCTCAGGAGACGTTTTCGAGCCCTTACAGGAGCAGCTGGAGGCGACGGATCTCCGGGTGATTCCTGGTTAGAAAAGGAGGTTCCATAAATGGGGATCCCCAATAGCTGGTTGGTTTATTTCATGGAAAATCCTATTAAAATTGATGATTTAGGGGTACCCCATTTCAGGAAACCTCCATTTTGCGCCACGATGCGTACAACCTATATTATATCATTCAATCCTCCAGCGATGTTCCCGAATGCGGGGGAAGTCGCTTGATGTTTGGTGCTTGTATGTGCTTGGTCAGCCCCATGATCGACAGTGGAGGTGAGGAAGCAGCCTTGGCTGCCATGAAGAAGAACATTGCAGTGATGTACTTTGCAGAGGTCTGATTCCCGGCAGTGCGAGACATCATGCCCTTTTTGTTCCTGTATCTCATCATCGCATATTTCTGCTGTTGCTCCATCCTAACTGCGACCATCTTGGGTAAGAAGAAGCGTGCTGCAATCCTTCCTATGCGGATGCTACTGGATAGGATGATTCGCCGCCAGCATTCAGCTGAGGGTCAAATTCAAAGCGCTGGAGAAGTCCTTCAGCGCAAGTTGGGCAAAGAGAGGCAGGACAAGACGGGGGGTCGCGAAATGTTGGGAACGTACCCAACAGATATGGGGGATACGACCATGATACGACCCAACATGACCCAATCAGCCGAAGCGAAGGGTATCACTGGGTTGAAGTTTCGAAAGCAAAAACGTCAACTGATAAATCTAAATGAAGGTATGGGATATGTATGGGTATTTGTTTGATACTTGATGAAATTTAAATTATATATATAATGTATATTATATAGTATACATTGTATATATATATATATACAGTATGTGTATATATACTGTACATATATATATACACTGTATATATATATACAGATGTACATACACAATCATTTCTAGTCCCCCTCCATCTGTTTTAAATCACAGGGCCCACAGATCGAGCGTCCAGGGCCAGTGAGGTGATCCAGAAGAATCCTGGGGCTTTGACCATCGATCCAAAGACCGGGCCGGGGGCCGTCATGGACTTGTTTGATTTAGCATTCATACTATGACTGTGATATACTGCAATGGATTATTATTTATTATTATTATTATCATTATTACATATATATTATATATTATATATATTATATTAGATATATATTTATATATAGATAGATACTGGAGTTCACATATTGATGTATATATTATGGTCTAGGTGTGTGAACACACCTGGTGTTTCATTTCAGCCCCTGAGTCAGTCCGGTTATCAAAAAAAGGGCCGTGTCCAGCTCACGAAGTGGACAGAGCCGTAGCAGCCGTAGCAACTACATCCTTGGACAAAAGTAGGCATGGTATCATCAATGGGAATTTCAGGATCCTAAAATGGAGGTACTGTACCATATAAGACCATATTTTGTGGGGATATTCCCTTACATAGGCTTTACATAGGCCTTATATATGGTAGGTACCTCCAATTTAGGTTCCTGAAATGGCCATTGATATCAGTGGTGGGGGAATGAAACACTGCAGATTGACATGCAATTCAACTGCTTTTTCTTTGTCTCGACGAATACCTGAAGTATTTGGCAGGAATCTGGAGAGCAACATTGCAGCTGTTTGCCTCGCAGCTGATGCTGTCAATGTGATTGTGAGCAATGCAGAGGTTTCGCGATTTGCTGCAGGACGGAGGGGCGTGGTATATGTTGCTGTTGGGATGCGTGATTCAAAGACACCGGCAGGGCATATTTGGGCCATCAGGGCCGGAAATCTTATGACTCACACAGTATTCATTGGTCTCAGCTGTTGTAGGCCACCTCGTACGTGCAGTCTCTGCAGAGTTTAAGCAAGCACTTCAGGAGGAATTGGGCTTTTTTTCGCCATTGGTCTTGGCAAAGCCACTTTCGACGTGATTGCTTTGCGTGCCTTCAGTGGGTAGGTCCAGTTTTGGAAGTACTTAGATGTTTGCGGAGAACTTTGGGAATGTCAGGGAGTTGCTATGTCTCTTCCTGGCAGTTTCCAAGCACACCAGAGATTGCTGACAAAGCTCGGTAGTTCGCTCTACATCAAAATCGATTGGCAGAATGGAAAAAAATCCGATGCCTGGCTGCTGAACAGCCTTTCTCGAGCCGCGACCAAAGATGGCTGTGGCTCCGAGGCCAAGATTCTGAAGATCAAAGAATTGCCACCGGAGGAAGCAGCTGCAATCTCAGCCGCCAGTCGCCAGTGCCGGCTTTTTTGACCTGTTCTTAACAGATGGTAATAGAAATACATAGAAATAGTGTTAATATACCAAGAGATCCAAGAGACCGTCAGATGACTTCAAGTGACTCTGCTAGATTTTTCTTTGAGTAGCGTGTGCGGCACACATTGCCAAGCGTCACAGGTACAGATACTTTGGTGGAGCAAAGCCAGCGCCTAAAATGAGCAAACAGTTTGCCCGAATGCATCATTGAACTTGCGCAACTTAGGTCCTGATTGATGACCCTTTGCGCATCTGCCGAGCCTTCCGCTTTGCCGCAAAATTCAAGTTTGAGTTGCCCCTTGGCTGTGGAATTGCAATCTTTGGAGATGCCTCATTTTGACCATTGCGGCCATTTTGGGGCCCTTCTGGCTTCATTGAAACGGAACAGACACACGATTCTGAGTCCTGGAAAGTGAACCCAGGCATCCCGCTTTTTGGATGGCGAGCGGCCCAGAGACCATTTGGGAAAGCATCAAAACCTATGAGTTTTCTGTAGTGTTGACCAGGGCAACAGGGTCTCAGAATGTTTCAGAGGATTTTGACCTACAGCTCTTTCAGAGCTGTATTTCTGCAGACCTGGAGCGGGATTGATGAGATCTGATGAGATTTGATTCGACTGGACGCAGGTTGCAACAATTAGATTAGTTTCAATAATGTCAATCATATCTAGTCAAATATAATCAGTTCTTATCACTCATAGTCAGTACAATAATCTATAATCAGCTGTCTAATATTGCCTATCTATGCCTATCTATCTACCTGGCTACCTCTCCGCGTCTCTCTATTTACCCACCTAGCTAGGTTGCAAAAGTAACCCTGAGGCTGTCCCCTTTGCTCTCGAGTCCGGAACCTTGGTCGATAGAATCGTGGAGGTCGTCTCCATGGCAAACTGTGCTGTGCAATGCTGTGCAGTTTGATGTCTTATCATTTCTTTGTAAGGTAGTGTACCGTACAGTGTACCCTCATGGTCGATTAGCAGCTGTTTTGGCTCCAAGAATCTACTGGATGCTGAAGTTTGCATTTACTCACGGCACACTGCTAAGAAGAACCTCATACCTGGTAGCTGGCGCTCTGCTTTGAAGCCTATTTGTGAAATTGGGTTTGTCCAAAAATGAGGGATACCCTTAACTGGCAATGTTTAGTGGGAAAAAGGCTAATAAACCAGAGGATTTGCGGGTATCGCATTTTCAGACAAACCCAGTGGTTCAGCAGCTTTTAATTTCAAGGTCCTTCTTTCCCCCAACTTTCTGCCAGAATCTTGCGTTTTCTAAGCCAGATAGAAGTGATGTAGAAATGTGGGATATTGATGGATGATACCAAGAACCAGTATGACTCGGTATGCCTGCGACAGTTTTTTTTTCCGGCTGCACAGGCCAGCTTTCCTGCTTCACAGTCAAGTTGCCCTACTCTCCAGCGGCTCAGCAAACCCGACGACCAGCGTCAACAGTCATGGCGGAGGAAAAGGACTGGATGTCCATTGTTACCACATACTGTCAACCCCGGATTAACAATTCCTGGATTGTTTAATTGGTGGGTACTCGTACCATTTTAATAGTAGCAGCTTATCATCAATTATTCTGGTGTAACCCACATAATCAACAAGGGTTTATTAATCCTGGGTTGACATGATTGATGATATGAGTGCAGTTCCTGTCAGGACCATGATCAGCCAAATTTACTGTCAGGAGCATCCGATGACGAAACCAAGAGCTGCTCTGCTTCTGATCGACATGCAAAAGGCAACGCCTTCAAAGATACGAGGACATGTTTTTGCCCAAGTTTTGCACACTCCCCTGCAAATAATAGAGACTATAGACTATATATGTAGTTCACACCAACAGTTGCAGCAATTGTTCAACATCTTGCAGCAAATCCTTTGATGATGATGTAAACATGTTCCAGAACTGAAGAGCAAAAATGATCAGATGGGCACTAGTTGATTTGAGCGTCTCTTGGGGCGTTAACCTCCAGTTGCAGGGTCGCTGAATTGAATGTCGTTTCTTCCCATTTTCCTTGCACTGATGGTCCCCTTACCAAATATGAATCGGATTGTATTTACCATACCCTACTTCTGGAAGTTTACAACGTTCAGATTCACCGTAATTCCTGGAATTTCCCTAAATCCCCCTGCCTATAGTCATCACATTTTCCCGTCAATTGCTTGTTACATCTTGTTACCATCCCTAAATCCACTGAGTCACTATGATCTGCCCTAGAGTTTTGCATAGTTTTGCCATGTTTTTCCATCTTTCCCATCTTATCCCAGGTTTTTGCCTTTTTCGGAGGCCTTCACAACTGGCAGCTGGGCCTGCCACTTCGGTGGCCCCGAGGAGGTCCGCGACATCGCCCGCGCCTGTGGGGCAGCTGCCCAGCTGCTCGGCTCGGGGAAGCTGCCGCCGGAGACGCCGGTGCTGTGCACCAAGTGCTACACGGAGCCGTGGCAGTTGGGGGAAGTTGGGGGAAGTTGGAAGATGTTTTATCATGTTTTTTGAATGGTGTTTTTGTGGCATTTTTGTTTAAGCATGTGTTCAACATATTGAAGTGATTGTTCAAAATCTGGAGGAAACATCAGGGAACTATCCAGATGTTGCTTTTTGGCAGATGTTTTCTTGGTAATGGGAGAAAGCCAACGAGATCCTGTTGTGCTTGCCGGTTGTCCAAAAATATGGAGAAACGCATCCTGATACTTATTGGCCGGAAACCTTTGCAGAAATGGATCAAGTTGGGAGTAAGTATGGTAAGATGGGGATGGTTTTAGAACGTTTCAGATGATTTACATAGAACATGTATGACATAACCAATTTATACCAATTTTGAGGGTCGAGGTGGTCGAAGCTCATGGTTTTTGAGAAGTGTCTTGGAAGTGACGAGAAGCTGCTGGTGAAGCCATTGGAGTTTTTGTGATCATGGCGATGGACAATCCACCATTTATAGATGATTTTTCCATATTTTTCCCTTTCACATGGCCAGTCTGACTGGGGATTTCCCCAATGGATTTCCCATGTTTGAGAGGCTTATTGTTTGATGGTTATGTAAGTTATGATTCATAATGATTGTTGTCCTGACCATCCAGGATGGTTCAGAAGACGAGCCATACCTGGAGACATTGGAACCACTCTTGAGAAAGTACCCCTGCATTCACAAGCCTACCATGGATGTGACCTACAATCCGGCGTTCTTCCAGTGGCTTCGCAAGCAGGCACAGTATCTCGGCGCTGAAAATTACGGGGTTGGCATTCCTAGGCCCTGCTAGGCCGATCCTCTCAGGGGTGGTCCACCTTCTAAGGCAAGGAATTGGTGTTCTGGTGATTGGTGGCTGCACTACTACCAGTTGCGTCAGGGTCAGTTCCACACGAATTGCTGGACAGCTGGAGGAGCAAGGCTTGTCAATGAAGGTGGTTGTGGACCTGAACCTTTGCGGAGCACGCCAGGAGAACTTTGAGCATACTGCACACTATGATCCAGTGCTGGTTGGAATCTATGGCCGCGAATTTTGCGCGGGAAAATCTGCGGTGGATTTGGCAATTGTACAAATGAAGCGAGCAGGCGTTGAAGTTGTGGCTTCCGCAGGCTGGGATTGGTGAGTTTTTACGTGGTAGAAGGATGAAGCGTTGGAGGATGTTGGAGGCCTACGCCCTATGCCAAGAAGTTCGGAGTTGGTGGTACGCCGGAAGACCTGTCGCCACCAAATTGGAAGACCTTGGCAAGCTGTTTGATATCCAGAAGATCCGATTAACAAGGCCCCCGTGCTCTGAGCTGGCAAGCTGACAGTAGGACTTTGCTGGATGACTGGTAGAAGGGATCCATCAGCGATGAAAGGTCTCGATCTTTCCAAAGATGAAGATCATGCTGTCAGCAGACACGGAAATTGGTAAAGAGCGTAGGAAGAGCTGAACAGCGTTGAAACATGTGTGAAAATATTGAAGCACGATATACTGTACTACACATCATACCGATGCAATACTATCAAGTACCACATATCATCCTATCATATCCTATCCCTATACCTTCCCGGTAACTAGATGGGTGTTCCACCAGCCCAGTGGAAAGATCATGCCACCCTCAGGCCTTTGCGAACGAAAGTGGTTGACTCCTCGGAAACCATCAGCAGATACGGCTCTGAAAATGTGGTACCCTTGATCATATGATATGCATTACCCAGTAGAATTATGTTCAAAAGTGCACAAAATCACCATTAAAATCCATGAAACAGATTTGACATGCTTTGAATAGGGTATGCCACCATTTTGGGGCCATAACATGGTCGGGCGAGTTGTGCCAGAACCTTTCAAGTCTTTTTGGAGGCTGGCAGTCGCAAATTCACAGAGTACCACAAGATCGGAGGAGTTCACAGCGCTTGTGACGCTTTGTGCGGATGATACTTTCATAATCTTCATATATTTCAAAGAAATTTATAAGAAGCGATTGGTGGTTTGAATTCCCGTTCATGAAGCATGCTAAACATGAAACAAGGGATTTCACTTCCCAGCTTATCTTGCTACATCTTTGTCGGTTGTTTGTATCCTTGCGTGTCAGGATACGGCTTCAAGGTGCGCGCCCTCCGCCCCTGTGGATGGCTATTCGCTGTATCACGTGGCAAAACCGAACATATTCCCCTCAAATTCTGATGGTTAATACATGTTAATACATAATCATACCCCATTTCTGGTGATGTTGGGATGCTTTACGATCAAAACTTGGTCCATGTTTACCACGTTACATCCGCGCCAAATCTGCTCCCGGACACCAGGCATGCAGCGATTTCTTTGAATTGGCCTTCAGCCGGACCTTCGGAGCCGAGGCTGTACAGTAAGGGATAATATTACAATATTATATGGGGTCTTATATTATATAATTAATATTACATATAGATAATAAACATACATATATATATAATATACTATGTGTATATATACAATGTATATAGCAGAGGAGGTTTGAACATTTCGGCCAAGAGATCATTTGGGAGCCCATTGACTCAAATTTGCAGCCTGTCAGGGATCCTTGCGCCTCGCATCTGCCCTTCTGGGCGGTCAGGACGGGAAGCTTTTCATATTGTGACTATGGACCTATCGGATGCACCAGCTGTGCCGACAGTTGCAGGATGGAAAAGGACAAGCTCGCATGCTTTCGCAGGCATGGCAACTCTGCAGTTTTTGCAGGTGCTCCAGTGATCTTAGCACCGGCTCCATGACCAGACTTTTCACAGGTGAAGTCCTTCAACGTGGATGTCTTCAGAGAATTGGCAGAGACAGTGAAACCTCAGGCCCAGTGATCCAGACTCCACAGAGCACCATCTGAGCAGTTTCAAAAACTGTGGTTGCTTGATGATTAGTTCGGGGCTTGTACAATCCATGAACTGGGATTCCCCAGGAAACGCAAGGATTGCAGGGATAGGTTTTCCATGGTTTTCAGATATGCAGGAACGAATCATCATCCCCAAGCATTGTCCAACCAAGTCTTGTCGAAACTACCTTAGCGGCCTTGGCGCCAAATATGTGTCCCCTTTTAATTAGTGGCCTCCCAATGGTCATCCCCACTTAATTGCCACAACGTCAACCCCCGATTCAAACAAAGCCCTGATTCTGAGTGATCGAAATATGTATTATATATAGTATGTATATAATATATACATTACTGCCCTTAAATAACTGTATTAATTGAAATGTTTTGATTGATAGTATCAACACCACCAGAAAAACAAGATGAAGCCCACGAACCCGAATGCTCACACGTATGTTAATGGTACAGTATCAAAACACATGGTTATGCAGTGACGCACAATACCTTTCTGCAATAGATTATTTGAACAGTCTTGTACATGTTTCCCTTGTTACCAGTCTGCAGTGTGGAGTGGAAAGTGTAGAGTGTGGAGTGTGGAGTGTGAAGTAAGGAGTGTGGAGTGTAAAGTGAGGAGTGGGGAGTGCAGAATGTGTAAAGTGTAGAATGCGGAGTGTAAAGTGTAGAGCGCGGAGTACGGAGTGTAAAGTGTAGAGTGTGGAGTGTAGAGTGTGGAGTGTGGAGTGTAGAGTGTAGAGTGTGGAGTGAGGAGTGTAAAGTGCAAAGTGTGGAGTGTGGAGTGTAAAGTGTAGAGTGTGGAGTATGGAGTGTAAAGTGTAGAGTGTGGAGTGTAGAGTGTGGAGTGTGGAGTGTAGTGTAGAGTGTGGAGTGAGGAGTGTAAAGTGCAAAGTGTGGAGTGTGGAGTGTAAAGTGAGGAGTGTAAAGTGTGGAGTGAGGAGTGTGGAATGTAGTGAGGAGTGTAAAGTGTGGAGTGAGGAGTGGAAAGTGTAGAGTGTGGTGTGTAGAGTGTGGAGTGTGGAGTGTAAAGTGTGGAGTGTAGAGTGTGGAGTGTGGAGTGTAAAGTGTAGAGTGTGGAGTGTGGAGTGTAAAGTGTGGAGTGTAAAGTGTGGAGTGTAAAGTGGAAATCGTGGAGTGTAAAGTGTAAAGTGTGGAGTGTATAGTGTAGAGTGTAAAGTGTAGAGTGTGGAGTGTGGAGTGTAAAGTGTGGAGTGTAAAGTGTAGAGTGTGGAGTGTAAAGTGTGGAGTGTAAAGTGTGGAGTGAGGAGTGTAAAGTGTGGAGTGTGGAGTGTAAAGTGTGGAGTGTTGAGTGGAAAGTGTGAAGTGTGGAGTGTAAAGTGTGGAGTGAGGAGTGTAAAGTGTGGAGTGAGGAGAGTGTGGAGTGTAAAGTGTGGAGTGTGGAGTGAGGAGTGTAAAGTGTGGGGTGTGGAGTGTGGAGTGTAAAGTGTGGAGTGTAAAGTGTAGAGTGTGGAGCGTAAATAGAGTGTGGAGTTTGGAGTGGAAAGTGTAGAGTGCGGTGTGTAGAGTGTGGAGTGTAAAGTGTAAAGTGTGGAGTGAGGAGTGTAAAGTGTGGAGTGAGGAGTGTAAAGTGTGGAGTGTGGAGTGTAAAGTGTGGAGTGTGGAGTGTTGAGTGGAAAGTGTGGGGTGTGAAGTGTGGAGTGTAAAGTGTGGAGTGAGGAGTGAGGAGTGTAAAGTGTGGGGTGTGGGGTGAGGAGTGTAAAGTGTGTAGTGTGGAGTGTAAAGTGTGGAGTGAGGAGTGTAAAGTGTGGAGTGTGGAGCGTAAAGTGTAGAGTGTGGAGTCTGGAATGGAAAGTGTAGAGTGTGGTGTGTGGAGTGTGGAGGGTAAGTGAGGAGTGTAAAGTGTGGAGTGTGGAGTGAGGAAAGCGCCACGCCTGCCACGCAAAACGACATGACAACCTGCTTGGAAACCTTCGAAAAGGAAAGAATTTGCGGCTTCCCCCATAGACACGATGACGCCACAGGAAAAACCAGAGACTCGAGACGAGACGCATGGATGCAGAAAAACGAGCATTTCGTGCGAGACTTCCTCCAATTTTGACATTTTCAACACGTTATCAAACAGCTTGGAATGTCAAAAAGTGCCACGTCTGCCACGCAAAACAACACGACAACCTGCTTGGAAACATTCGAAAAGGAGAGGTTTTCCAGCTTCCCCCATAGACACGGCGACGCCACAGAAACACAAGCGCCGCGAGACAAGACACGTGGATACAGAAAAACTAGCATTTTGTGTGAGACTTCCGGCAATTTTCACAGTTGCCGACAAGATAAAAAGACAAGTTTTGCAGCTTCCCCCATAGACACGGCGAGGCCACGGGAAAACCAGACACGCGAGAAGAGACAGGTGGGAGCACCAAAACGAACATTTCGTGCGAGACTTCCTCCGAATTTCACACTTTGTAGCTTCAAAATCGACGTTTTCCTACGAGTTTTCCTTAGAACGTGAAAATTGGCAACCTCAAAATCGATGTTTCGTGCGAGGCTTCCGTCAATTTTCAGCACATCGCACAAAATGCCACGCGTGCCACGGAATTTGCACCTTGTCACCACTTGACGCAGCCCTGCCAATGCGATTTACAAAAAACACGCCACAGGACGCGTCGAAAGTGCTGCGCCTGCCACGAAAAATGACGCTGGACACGTCCAAAGTGCTGTGCCTGCCACGAAAACTGCAACACATCTTCTGAAAACGACACAAAAGTATTGCGCCTGCCACGCAAAACGATTTTCAACACGTTGCAAAACATGTCTGAATGTCACGAAGTGCCACGCCTGCCACGCGAAACGAAGCAACGACACGTCTGAAACCTCCAAAAATGACCACCTCTGCAGAACTTCCCATAGGCACGGCCATATGGTCCTCGCGCGGACGGTTGCGAACGGTTGCGAACGGTTGCGGACGGTTGCGGACGCGGACGCAACGTCGAGCGAACACACTCCAACCCCCAGACCCCCAGAGTGAAACGGGAACCCTTGCTACGCATTCGGGAAAAATGGCTTAACAATTGATTCACAGATGTAATATTAGGGGGATGGGATTATCATTCACAACATGCTACTAAAAACTGATTGCCATTGATTATAATTGATTAGTAAATAAGACTGATTATTGTTAATATTTACCATTTATTGTCATTACCATTTAATTGTCCCCTGCTGATTGGGATGTAAAACTGCACGACCATTTATTATCATTGACCGGGAATTATCATTGATTAGTAGCGGATGGGTTATCATTAACAATACTAGTGGATAACAACAATAATAGTGATAAATGCACTAACCTTCGACTGGGGATGGAGTCTAATAATCTATATATCTGGGAGTTATTGTTATTGATATTAACAACTGATTATCATTACCCAGCTATATACTAATGAATGAAAATATATCGATCATCAAATCAGTAGAAGATTGATTATCATTACAATTGATTAGCATCATGTATGATAATTTACCATTGATCATCATTACATTAGGTAATAGTATTTGATAACATCAGATTAGATACCTCATATTATGCCATTGCAGTAGTAGAATATTTACTATTACCACATATTAATACAATTGATTATCCTATATTATGGTCATAGTAATGCTAATTATAGTAAATCAACTACTATAATACTGATAATCAATTACCATCACCATTAGTAGTTGATATGTCAGTCCTACTACTGAAATGGTACCGGTAATATTGATATTGATATTGAAATGGTGTATTACCATTCGTGGTTGATATAATAGTGATTCTCTACTATTGGAATATACGTAATATCTATATATATATATTGATTATCAGACCATTGTCATCACCATTATCTATATATAATCTACTACTATATATAATAATCTACCATTATTGATTACCATAATTTCCATTGATTGCCATTGAGTACCATTATTATTGATTATGATAAGATACCATCTACAATGATTATCTACTACTATATACCATTTATCATCACCATTATATATTGATAATCTACTACTGAAATGGTTCCCCTCGGCCGCGTCCAGCTTCAAGGGCACCTTCGATGGCGTTGAGCTCCTTGGGGAACTCATGGCCGCAGCTGTGGCCTGGGTGCTCGAAGCGGCGGCGGCGGAAGGATGCGTTTAGTATTTAATATCATTATTCTTGTCATTAATATCATTTTTATTGTCATCATTATTCTCATTATTATTATTATTAGTAGTAGTAGTAAGTAGTATGTTTTGCTATTATTACTATCACTATCATTGTTGTTGATTATATGTATCACTATTAATTATTTATTAGTATCATCATCATTATCATTATCATTATCGTTATAATTATTTGGCCAATTACAGATTATTTTTTTCTGTCGCGATTTTGATGGTTATTGTATGTTGTCATTAGATTCATTACTGTATTACTACAATTCGTATATATATCTATATATCTATATATCTATATATCTATATATCTATATATCTATATATCTATATATCTATCTATCTACCTACCTACCTATCTATCTATCTATCTATCTATCTATTTTGTACAAGCGATACAAGTAGATTTGGTAAACATGCCGCCAAACCCCAATTGGGCATGGTATACAACAACTCCCGCAGTACAATGACAGGGTATGGTTTATCATTGGGTTTACCATTAATTTATCGCACTATGCAAATCTGGTGGGTTGTTAGGTGCTCCCTTTCCATCCCTAAACACGGACTGCTAAAGCCCAGTTGAGTGAAGGCTCGGGACCTGCAGATGTTGGCAGGTTCCAACCATCAGGCCTACTTAAGTGCATATATTTAACCATATCAAAGCCGTTTTTATCCATACTTAACTTTACATTCGTTTGTGGGTAGTGTAGCTCATATATCTCATATCCATCATTTCTCCGAACTGTCCAACCTTGCGTGAGGCAGCTGCCGAGTTTGAGGCGCGAGGAATGCAGAGATGTACAGATTTTCAGTTGATTCACTGATTTTTTCCCATTCATTTAAGACGTTCAAAGATTGTTGCAATTAATAGAAGCAAACCTTTTGGATATCGGTCAGGCTATACATTGATACATCTATGGAGAATTACGAACTATACAAATGCATGATATTGGAGATGAACACCCAACATGATCCAGCACACAAAAAGAGAAACATATTGCCAGGGGGTGGAGGATGCTGCCAGCCAGCTCACCAAAGCCTGCGATGGGATGTGTGTCAGCAATGCCATGAGAGAAGCGGGCCTAAGTCCTTGGAGAGCATATGCTGTGCCTCGGTTCCACTGAGACAGGAGCCAAGAAATTGGTTTAAGGATGTTTACACTCTGGTGAACTAACATAGCAATGGAAAATCACCATTTTTAATGGGAAAATCCAATATAAATGGCCATTTTCAATTGCTATGTTGGTTCACCAGAGGGTAATGAATTCTTCACAAGACAGAAGTCTTTAGAAGCGAAAGCCTAGCACAGTCAACTAGCTTGTGCAAATATGTTCCCTTTAATTTGCACAACAACATCTTTGAGATGTCGTCTCGAACGGAGAGAAATGAAAGAATCGCGTAGTTTCCAGTTTCAGAAGGCCATGATGTCAGAGCCGCCTCTTCCCAACAGCCTGGACTGTCGCATGGGCTCCCAGACGTGGTGGGGAAGGCTTGGGTAATCAAAATGATGATTTCAAAACACAGAGCCGTGTCCAAAAATACTTAAAAATGGGCTATACCCCAAAACTTGCGTTTTGTATAGAAAACGAATGAACGTAATGATCAAGGATAGACCAAGGGATTTATTGGGGGAGCATGGGGGAGCCTATTTTCAGACTGGCAGCCATATGATATATGGGCTGCCCATGGGTCGATTTTTCCATTGTGATGGGGGGATGAAGGTTGATGAACAAGAGCGAACTGCTGATGCTAAAATTAGGCTACGCCACTTTTGAGTCATAGACGTGGTGATGTTTGTACCAGGGTCATGGAGAATCATGAAAAAAGTTTAGACGACAATTGTGGAAATTAGAGACTCCTCCTGCTTGCCACCTGAAAAACATAGTGGTTTTGGTCGATCTTTGTCGCGACCTTGTGGCTCTGCTTCGTCCACAAACTTTGACGATACTTGGAGCTGAAGTGTTATCAGTACGAATCTGACCATGGGTTAAGAGGTAACCCACAGAAATAGGTGATATTCGAAAGTAAGCCATCCCAATTTAGATAATTTAGGGCGCCCAGTTATGACCCCATACATTGATGGTTCATGGATGGTTATATAAATCCCTTAAATTCCACGAAATCACATCACATCAAGAAACATGTTGATTAATGTTGTTGATGGTAAAATCCCACTAAATCCCTTGGAATGCCAATTCTTGGTGGTTAAATCCCATAAAATCCAATAAAATCCAATAAAATATCATAAAATCTCACAAAATCCCGTTAACATGTTCCCCTTGTTCCAATGTTATAGTTTTTGTTGTTCTAGGTGTAGCCGAAGCCTGCGGCATCTCACCAGCGAGCTTGGCACGACACGCGCAAGTTTGGGATGTGTCTTGGCGTCGGCTGATGGGATGGTCGCCCAAGGAATGATTTTTAGGTCATTTTTATGGTGATTCGTGGGCCATATATATATAGTATATATGATTATATATATATATATGATTATATATAATTATACGGTGTATATACATATATATATAATGATGATAATAATAACAATAATAATATAAACACATGGATCCACATGAATCAATGAATGAATACATAGATGTACAATTAAATGAATAAATAGATACAGAATGATACACACACAAAAGAAATAATAAGAATGCTAGTAGTAACAATGCATGCAGAATATGGATCATAACAACACATAAAATGATGATAGCTAAGATAATACTAAAAGTCATGATAGCAATAACAATTACACCAATAATGAACAAACATGATAATCAGTGTAGTCATGATTGAAAATAAGGACACTAATAATAATGATGACAATAATGATGACAACAATGATGACAATAATGATGACAATAATGATGACAATAATGATGACAATGATAATTTGATGACAACAACGATGATGCTGATACAGTAGTAGTAAGAGTAATAGTGATAGTAAGACTGGAAAACATATTCATCTCATTGGCAGGACTGCTGTTTAAACAGCAGGGTCATGATAAATCAAACGATTTCATGCGGATGTAGTAATAAAATTGTCATATCATGTGGGATCGTCAGCAATTAACATCCGAAATTTATGGCCTATCGTTGTCTATATTTATAGCTACTTGGATGATTTACCATGCCAAATGGTCACTGGGGACGGTTTATTTGGACCCATGACCATGACGGATCCTTCTTGGATAAGGCCATGCAAATCTGCAATGCGAGAACAGGCGAGGTGAAAAGGGGACTTTTGAAATAGCATACTTGTGGCATTCTTAAAATAGGGAACAGGAAAATCATATAAAATCATGCCAGTTGCCGGTCATTCTTAGGGAGACATAGTGGTTTGGGCAGCCCAATTTTCAGAAACACCCATATTTTAATGGGAAGATCCTATTTGGGTCAACTGGGATGGTCCATTTGTGGTCCGGCCCAGAAGAACTCAATTTTGAGCAGATCTTTGGGCCCATTTTAGTGGGCCTTACCGGCCTTACCCAAATTGATCCAACTTGCATCAAGCATGGTGTTTTATGGTGTTTTCATGCTTGACTGTTGCCATGCTGTCGTACCTCTTCAGGTCCAGAGTACTCGACGGAATATCGGCGAAACTTGGTTGGGAGCATAGATCCAATTGGTAGAGCAGTAGCCCACATTTTTCTTCCAAGCAGATGTTCTTGCAAGCGTTTGTAACTGAAAACGAAATTACTCCAAAAGTTGGATTTACATACAAAAACAGGGGCACTTTTGCATTATTTGCTCAGATGTGCAACAAGTTCCCCAAAGTTTCCTTGAACCTTGATCCATTTATGGAAGGGTTTGCCTCAAATGCCAAGGTCGATTTGTATCTCTGGGAGTGTTCGCATCAGCATCCCCTGCAGAGGCTTTAGCCCTGGTTGGGTTGCAGCACAAAGACGGAGAGCTGCAGAAATGCTTCAAGGTGCTACTGAGAGAGGAAATGAGATGGCAAGTTCACCCAAAATCATGGAGGAATATATCATGAACAACCATGCTACCCTCCTAGTGCTACCATCGGAAAAAGTTAAGGCCCACTTGCCCAATCACCTATTTCCTTAGTTTTTGCCCTCAAGAATCAATACCCCAATGATGGATTTCACACAAAATCAAGACTTTGGCGCCAAACATGTGAATATAGTGCACTGTTTCGCAAGGATTTCACCATATTTGACCAGCAAAAACCGGGGATGGATATGGATTTGACCAGATTCCTGATGAGCCCGGTGAGATTATCAGTAGATGATCAAGGCTGGGGTCGAATGACAGAGTTGCTCCTGCAAGTTCTGGCGGCTCAAGTACAATTGGGTCAGCCAGAGCACAATGCCAGCTTGGAAAGCTTCTTGTCTCGTAAGTTGGGCGTTTCGTTGTGCACTTCTTGTGAAGGTAGTTCTGCATCTGTAATTATCCTATTGAATAATATGTACTTATGTATGTATATATAATGATATATATATATATAAAGATATATATATATGAATATCCATTGGTGTATCATCGTTTCTATCAAGTTGCCATTTTATGGGTGTATGCACCACGTTACAAAAGAAGACGTCAAAACAGCACAGCCACATGGGGATTTTCCATTGCCAGGGATAATCACTGGAGGGTCAGAGACCTGACGGATTGCCCAAGGAGCTCTTGGGGAAAACGTTGGCGCCAACATGTGAACCCAAGGCTGCTGGGTCGCGAAAAAGTCGCGTTGAGCGCAGGAAGTCCCTGAAAAAAAAAGTCCTGAGGACACATGCTGATGGCAATGATAATATAGATCAACAATAGGTCAGCAATAGATTTACAAAAGATCAATAAATGACTTATACAACATACATACATATACTGACTATATATATATATATATACATACATACATATTTATATATATATACATATCAATACAGATACAGATCATCCTATGCCTTTGCCAAGGTGAAATTACATTTTCAGGATCGTCGTCATTGCGATGTCCATGATCCAATGTTTCTGAGATGCTTGTTGCTTGGACGGGACAAGATCGCCATGGCGGTGTCATATTTTGGGGATCTTGAACTACCCGATTTGGTTGTTTGGGTCACCATTTAGGACCTTCAAATGGTGGGTTGCACCGCCCAGCATATTGGGAGCCACGAAAGCATTTGACGGTGTCGGAACATCTTCTGAGGACGGTTTTTGCGCGCAGCCGCGGATGCAAAATTGTGAATGCGCAACTTCAAGCTGGCCAACAACAGGAATTCTCGGCTGCTCACTTATTGGAACATGTGACCATGTCCAACCCGTTGCGGGCTGGTGGTGGATGTTTGAAAAACATGTTGCTACTGGCGGGTACTGCAAGGATTCATCAAGACTTTGACTTGCATCTGAATCAAATATGAGAATTTGATGGGGTTTTGAGGTCAAGACTCATTCTCATTCTCATAAAGAACCGGAGTCAGGGTTACAGTCTCAGGTTGTGATGTGCCATGACAACATGCGCGATTTGGACAACGTTCCGGCGCCCTCCAACAAGAAGGGAAAGAAGTCGGCTGGGAAGAAAGGTAAGAAGACGGCCGGCACCAAAGCGATGCTATACAAATGAGCCTCGGTCAGGTTACTTCAGTCACCTTTTCAAATTGTGTGGACATTATTTGGGGATGGGTCAAAACCCTGGTACCTAGTGAACCCCAAAATGGCTGGTAAATGGATGTTCATCCCACTAAAATGTATCTATAGGTATTGACCCATACCCATTTAATCCAAAACAGGAAAAAAACACAATGGCCTCGTGTAGCTGAGGAAAATACAGGAAATTGTTGGGGTATCATCGTCCAATTTTGTGGACCAGTCTTCCAATTTAGGTTGGACATGCGAAGCTTAGGGCCCTCACACCAGCCCAACCGTGAAAGACCGCTACCGCAACTTGTTCGCATGGCCTCCCAATCATCCCGGGCGAAAGGAGACAGTTGGACATATTATGACATCTTTGACGAATGGAATGATCTCACTTAAGGTTTGCTCTGGTGCAATGAAATCCCAGTTTCGGAAATCAGATGTAATATGTATAGTATGATGGATGAGGGGCCAACGGGGTTGTTTCTGCAGAGTGCTGGGGCTTTAAGTATGTAGTAGAATGCTGATTCGATTCATGTTACACAGTCTTCAAACGAACTGATACGATTTCAGGTTGGTGAAAGTCTTCATGTTGGCACACGCTGTGTCCTGCATATTCCAAATCATCCCAGAAGTGCTGCAAACTGAGGTGGTTCTTGTCCGTGTCTTTGTGGTTAGCACCAATCCTGCCAAGCAGGGGAGGTGTTCAGTGAGTCTTCGCAACGCCGGGCTGCTCTGGCCACTACGGCCGCAGTGGCATGGCTCCCAGCTGAAACCTCCGCAGATACGCGTGCCGTGCAGGGACAAGTCCCTGATTTCGGCTTTTTTGGTGCAGAAGTCAACTGAGTCTGCAAAGCAGACAGCTTCAGTTGTCAATCCGCTGCAGTTTCGCTGCTCCGGTCCATCTTTTTTAAGACCCCCTACCCAGGTACGCACAGGGATAGAGCTTCAGGTTTGCTGGGTATGATGATTGTTGCGGCAGGCTAAGCCATGTTGATCCATGTTGATTGTGTTTTGGAGCCCCATGAACATCCATGAACATCATGAACCGTCCATGCCCACGATTGCTGCCTGAAAAGTTCTATGCAAAGCTGTGAGCTTTGCTTTTTGTAGTAGACAGAAGTTGCGCTTGAGGGCTCGGCTGCTTTCTTTGAGGATAGCCCTGTGGTGAGAGTGTCATCCAAGGGCCCAAGGGGATGAATGAGGACATGGATGACAAATGACACATGGGTTATTTCTTAAGATATATTTTATATAATTACAGAGACTGAGAGCGAGTTAAATACTAAGACACACAATACATGCCGTAGAATGCATACACCTGCACGCATTCGTCCGGACCCAGGTTCATGCTCGTGCAGTCTCCGAATAGCGCAATTTCTGGTTCAATCGAAGGGGATTTATTCCCTTCCGATCTCTTGAATTTTTGTCCAAGCAGGTGCACGTCCAGCTTAGAGAGAAAAAGATGCAGAGGGCTGCTGGCACAAGTTGAAACCTTTTTATTTTCAGGCCACATGAGAGGTCAGCAGCCTTTAATGTGAAGGGCTTGCTGCTCAATAATGTGTCGATCAATGCCATTGTTTTGGCTCCAGTCATGATGACATATTAGTTGTGAACTTCCTGGGCGCTCGCAGCGTGGCTGCGTTGCGGGTGCCGGCGCGAAAAATGGTGGCAGTAGTGATGAAGCAGGAAGAGCGCTGCCAGGTGGTGGTGTGTCGCCATGGCCAGGACCCATCCAGTGGTGCCAAATTCATCCTGAAACCCGGGGAGTCCATACGTCTTGGTCGTGGACGTGGAAGTGAGGCGGGAAGTATACCCAAAAAATGGGGGTTCCAACCAGGAGGGTTTCCATGTTCACCAAGAGGTGTTGGATGGGATGATTTTGTTGTTCATTGGTTTTGGGATGTTTTGGGTAAAGGCCCTCCCGAGAGACAAAGGGTGCAGTTTTGTTGCACACATCGGCCAGGTGTTGCTGGACTATGAGGGTGTCTCCAAGGCTCACGCGGAAGTGTCCTTGCGTGAGAAGTTGCCAGAGGAAGTGATCCTTGGATCTGACGTCAAGCTTCCCACCATGCTGTCTATCCGCGACTTGACCTCCAGAAATGGCATTGGAATTCACAAAAAGCCAGAGGACCAGGCGGACCAAGATTGCATTCCCACCATTGGCTCCTTTGAACGACTTCAATCTGCAACTTCGCAGGCGCAATGTTCAAATTGGTTGGTGGTGCTTAGGTGCTTAAGCTTAAAAAGAATCATTGGACTCCCATCACAGAAGGGGGATGTATCAGGTCAGGCATTAAAATGATCTGTACTCGGTTATAATTATTTAAATTTGGAAAACTAGAATCAGAATATATCGATTTATCAGAATCATAAAACTCATTTAACATCCTCTCTTGCAAAAAGACAGCTGCCGTGTTTTCTTTCCCAAGCTTTGGCCCATGCTCAGGTGCTCCAAGACGGCTGCTGTATTTTGATCCCAGCAAAGAGTCGGCGTTATGACAAGCAGATGACGATAGAGCAGCGAATCCTCACCTTCCATGTGAGCACGGTGACTTCTTGGTGTTGTCAAAGGTATGTTTTAATCAATGTTCAACCCCATAGAAACAAATGAACATCGGACATCTTGGGATGATTCTCCACAATTGAACGGCATTTGATTTTTGGGCCCAATGTGGCTCACAAGCAGGTGATGATTGATGTCCCAGTGCCTGTGCCCCCTGCCCCACGTCCGGTGGAGCGTCGTTTGCCACCGGCCGTGGCACCGCATATTCCCGTCGCTCCAGTGGCTCCGGTGGCTCCCGTTCGAGCCATGGCGCCACGTGCAGCTCCAGTGGTGCCCCATGTCCCCCGCGTGTCGCCACCCCCGCGCTATGCAGCACCAGTGGCGCCTGAGGAGTTGGCCAAGGCAGTGACGGCAGTGACGGCAGTGACGGCAGTGAAACCGAAAAAGAAAAAGCCAAAGACTTCAAAGACCACGGAGGAGGAGCGCTTGAGCTTCGCTCGTCCAGTGCGCACCGAAGGCCTTGCCACATTGACGGGAGAGGCCTGGCCGCCCATCTTGCCACGAGAGGAGGTGGAGGGTCATGATGTACCGATCCGAGGTGAGCGCCGGGCGGACAAGGTGGAGGTCTCTAGTGATGAAGAAACGGCACCAGCTTTGACACAGGCCAATGTGGCCAGGGCATCCACTGCCGCGGCAGTGGCTGCAGGTGTGGTGGAGCCACCAGACGTGGATCCGGAACTTCGTAGCATTTCACCCATCTCCACCCCAGGTGTGTTCCCATGGCAAGCGGAGAAGAAGACGAGCAAGAAGAAGCGGGCTGAATCACCACAGAGCACCTGGCTGGCAATTTGAAAAACTCTTTGTTTTCCATGTACCACGCTTTTCGTATTCTTCCATCCCACGAGACTCTGAATGAACTCCAATTGACTCTCTTTTCAGGAGCCTAATTGAGCAGGTAGGATTTAAGGAGTAGGAAGCCATCAATCCAGGCGCAGACGTCCACCACAAAAAGCGCAAGGGCGATGGCGGCAAGTCCAAGTCCAAGAAATTGACCCTGACGGCAGCGTCCTCGGGAATGCAATGGGATCCATATATGCAACGCGAGGCCTCACCCTCACCATGCTCTCATCTGCCGGATGTCCGAAAGGAGGCAAAGAAGAAGCACGGGGCAGAGAAGAAGAAGCGTAAGGACAAAGATGGCGGGAGGAAAAAGCTGCTGAGACCCTGGGATGATCTAGCTAAATGGATAGCAACTGAATGCAACTGAGCTACAATCCCTGAGAAGTGGAATTTTAAGGAAATCACTGGAACTATCATGTTGAAAGATGATTTAATAAACATTAAAAAAACAGCAGTTTCCTGGCCATTTGGTGACCTTCAGTGAATCATCCCAGTATGCTGCTGAAGAGCTCTGCCCGGTGTCATGGATGCAGAGCCCCATGTCCTCAGGCACTCTCCTTTGTGCGCCCGCCAGTTCGAGGAACTGTGCTGAATGCGTGGGTACCAAGGGCAGAGCAGTGCACATGTTCCATATTGTTCCATCCTTCAGAGGTGAAGACGGTGAAGAGAGACAGTCGCGGCAATTCTTCAGCTGCTTGTCATGAGCTCCTGGATGAATCACCGGATCACTATCTCAGATATCTCAGGCCAAGGGTGTTTTGGAGGTTCCAAATCAACTCCGACGCCAGGCGGTGTGCGGCTAACCCCCAATGGTGGTGGTGTATCAGCCATGCCTTGCTGAACCAATCCCGGAGTTGGGTAATCCACATGTACTCGGTCACAAGAAACATGGCCTGGTTTTTGAATGGGACTTCCCTGCTAGATTCTGCTAAATTCTCGCATTTTCTGTTGAAATCTCCAATTATTTCTTCATCTTCTTCGTTCTTGAATTCATATCTTCTATATCCTTTCAATTGATTGTGTATGTTTTAAAATGAAATGTATAAAATCACCACCCTTTTCGTGGTGTGTAAGCAAGGGGGGCGTTCGAAAAATGTAAGCAACAGTTTTGACCACTGCGTATTTTTTCCCGATGGGGAAGGCTATATGTATCTTAGACCCCTCCTACGTCAAAAACCGTGCCCCGGAAGATTTACATTTAGGGAGGGGGGGTTGAAAGTCCGCAAGAGATACGTCACCCCGTACCCCCCTCCGAACCCCCCCCGTACTCTACGGATAGGGGGGGGTGGGGGGAGGTAAAAATTGTTCAATGTCTAAACTGTTTGTGAGTTGTGGGGATGTAATCAACCTATGTCTGAGGTCCATAGTTCCTTGCAGAAAGTGTTCGAAAAAGAAGGTAAAACTAAGATAGAAAAATGTAACCATCCTACACCTGAGGCCTATAATTCCTGGCAGAAAGTGCTCAAAAAACAAGGTAGAGATGAGATAAAAAATATAACCATCCTACACTGACACTTGAGGTCCTTAATTCCTTGCAGAAAGTGCTCAAAAAAGAAGGTGGAGATAAGATAGAATCATGTAACCATCCTACACCTGAGGTCCATAGTTCCTTGCAGAAATTGCTTAAAAAGAAGGTAAAAATGAGATAGACAAATGTAACCATACTACACCTGAGGCCTATAATTCCTTGCACAAAGTCCTTAAAAAAGAAGATAAATATATGAATATATATATGATATATGATTCAACAAAAACACCATCCTATACATAAGGTCCATAGTTCCTTGCAGAAAGTGCTCGAAAAAGAAGGTAAAGCTAAGATTATTAAGATTGAAAAATGCAACCGTCCTACACCTCAGGTTCCACAGTTCCTTTCAGAATCAACATGACACATATGTAGATTGTTATTATATTATGGTTGGAGGGTCATAAGGGGGGCTAGCGGCTAGATAGGAACCGTGGCAGAAGGGTGTTTAAGTTCGATCATGTAGGTACATAAAGGGGATTTACCATAGGGACCCCATAAAGGTTCATTTGAGGTCCTTTTGAGGTCCATTTGAGGTCCTTTTGAGATTTTTATTTGTATTCTATTACATTCTATTGTTTTTATTCCATAGGTAGGAGGTAAATTTGAAGAGGTTCAACATTTAATTTTACATTTATTTGAAGTTCAAAGATTTTCCAGTAATTTGCAAGGAATGATATACCTTCTATACCTCCGTATTACATGTGGAAATGATTTTAAAAAAATGTAGAAAAAATGTAGAATGTATTGGAAATACCAGGCAATTGGGGACCTACACACTCCCAGTTTGCATTTTTAATTTTCTGCAATTCTGCAGCTATTTGCAGACCTTCACACTATTTTTTGCATGTTTTTCATGTTCTTACATTTTCTTTTCAAAAATGCAATGGACAATATTGAACGCCCCCCTGCGTTTTTAAAGAAAACAAATGAAATCCCGTAAAGAATGAGGGGACCTACTAAAATGAAATCTTGCAAATAAGACGCAGTTAAAAAAATAAATGCTTGCCAACATTTAACAGGACCACCTCCCTCAAAAACGTCTAAATTGTGTGTTGCAATTTGGGTACGCCCCCCCTCCTGAAAAGGGTAGTGATTGTATAAATCCATATGAGATTTCCTTTAAATCCCCACCTTTTGCTGCTTGCTTGATTGTTTCACCGCTTCTTCACCGTATTTCACCGTTGGCACCCGTTGGCCACCAGGTGATGCAGCTCTTTGAAGTGAGCACCCGGCTGTTGCAGTTCGATGGGCCAGTGGAGGACTGAAGATGAGCCATTCGAAATAGCCTGACTGGTTATTGAAGAATATTACAACCCATACTAGGATTGAACGATGTAGTTTTCGAGGAATCATTACACATCTGGGATCATTTGGGTCATCCGATGTGATTTGTATGTTTGTTGATTTCGTTATGTTTCGTGCTTCTGTTGGTTTTCTCCGTGTGCTGCTTGAACGGGAGGGTGACGACTGTGTCTTGGGAGGCTGGGGAGAACCTCCAGAAGCTCTTCGACCTTCATCCCAAACTCCGGAGCTGGCCTCAAGTTTTGGGAGCTTTTCTACAGGAATTTTGGATTCCAAGGGTTTATCATGACTGCAATTTTTTTTTCCGGGTAAGTATATCCCCCGGGAATTTCGGCTGGTCAATATTACTAGCAGTGTGTGCAGACTTTACCAGCAAAAGAATCTATACTATACCAGCTGAACCACGATGAGGCATGCCTTTGAAGCCGGAAAATGAAGCTCCTATTGAATGTGGGGAACACCACCACTTCAACGGCTGTTTCATATTGGTATAGCGGTATAACCACCAAGGATGGGGAGTTGGGTATTTCACTGGCAAAGATTGCCATTTCACAACAACACTTTCACGATCTCGAACTAGGGACTCAAGCTGACAAAAAAGCATCGAGAGGAAAGCTATCATCACCATCACCACCACCACCACCATCACCATCACCATCATCATCATCACCACCATCACCAGCATCACCACCATCACCAGCATCAGCATCAGCATCAGCATCCGCATCAGCATCAGCATCAGCACCATCACCATCACCATCACCATCACCATCATCATCACCATCACCATCACCACCATCACCACCACCATCATCATCAGAATCATCATCATCATCATCATCATCAGGAGGTTCGTAATCCCCCTAAAATATCCTAAAACTGGATATATATATATATATTATATAATATATATATATTTAGATTTAAGGGCTTACGCCCAACAGCCGGCTAGGGGCCCACCCATGGGGAATGAGGAAGGGGGAAAACGGGAAAAGTGCCTAACGTTGCTCCTGAAACCCTAGAGAAAGATGCATTTTTGGGATACATCTTTCGGTTTCATTTCGACTTCTTGTATGTCTCTTCCCACTTCCGGTATATCTTTTCCAGTTCTTGAATTCGTGTAGCTTTGAGACCTTCAATCTTGCAACTTTGCAACCCTTCTAAACGCGAAAAGTGCCCCTCATGCATTTCTGGATACATTTTAAGGTATCTTTTCCACTTCTTGTATATCTCTTCCCACTTCTTGTCTATCTTGTCCACTTCTTGAAATCGTGTGGCTTGAAGCCTTCAATCTCGCAACTTTGCAACCCTTCTGAATAAGAAAACTGTCTAACGTTGCTACGTTGGTTGCTTCTGAAACCTTAGAAAATGGTGCAACTTTGCAACCCTTCTAAACGAGAAAAGTGCCTAACGCTGCTTCTGAAACCCTAACGAAAGATGTGCATGTTTGGTTACATTTTAGGGTATCTTTTCCACTTCTTGTATATCTCTTCCCACGTCTTGTATATCTTTTGCACTTGAAATCGTGTAGCTTTGATGCCTTGAATCTCACAACTTTGCAACCCTTCTAAACGAGAAAAGGGTCTAACGTTGCTTCTGAAACCCAAGAAAATATTTTGTTTTGGATATTTCGGATATATATGGATATTTGGATCCTGAAACCCTTCTAAACGGGAAAAGTGCCCCACGTTGTTTCTGAAACCCTAGAGAAAGATATTGTTTTGGGTACAATTTTTGGTATCTTTTCCACTTCTTCTATACTTCTTGAATTCTTGTAGCTTTGAACTTTGAAGCCTTCAACCTCGCAACTTTGCAACCCTTCTAAACGGGAAAAGTGCCTACCGACGCTTCTGACACCCTAGAGAACGATAAATTCTTGGATACAGTAGTGGGTATCTTGTCCGCTTCTTCTATATGTCTTCCCGCTTCTTGTATATCTCTTCCACTTCTTGTATTCGTATGGGCTTCTAAACGGGAAAAGTGCCTAACGTTGCTTCTGAAACCCTAGAGAAAGATACGTTTTGGAATACATTTTTGGGTATCTTGTCCGCTTCCCAGACTCTTTCTATGCCTTTAGTGGTGCTGTAGGAGTAGTAGGAGTAGTAGGAGTAGGATTAGCAGTAGTAGTAGCAGCAGCAGTAGTAGCAGTAGTTTTTTTTCCTTTTGCATTCCCCCTTGTGCAGCCGGGTCGGCGGGGAGAGAGAGAGAGATATATATATATGTATGTATTTATATATATATATATATCATATTATCTCATTATAATCACCATAATCATCATCATAATCATTATCAACTGGGCTGTGTGAGAAAACATTGCTTTCCGTGGTATTCTGGTAGACCTGGACCTGAGGGACGCGTTTTCACCCAGTGTGTGGATGGCAGATGATGGAAAAAGCTTAAAACCTGAGCCCCGGGCTCAGATGGAATTCGGAGTGGGTTGGACCTGGCTGGTGTAGAATTATGATCCACAGCTGACTCCATAGGGGGTTTAACCAGCACAATTTTAAACCATGTTTTGTAGTATTCGCTGATCTAATATTAATGCCTTGTGGCACTGTCCCAGAATCACAGGAAGTGTCCTCTTGGTCTTGCAAAGCATTTTTTTAAAACAAGCTTGGATTGAGGTTCCTGCCTGCCAAGCGTGGATCGGATCATGCGGGCAAAGATGGAAAACGTTGTAAAAAAAAAAATCATTAATTGGAATACAGAAAGGGAAGGGGGAAACGGGTGGATAATTGGGAAGACCTTCGAATATTAGG